CTTTCTTTCACTTTTAAAACTAGTTCTGATTGCAGTGGCTGCTTGAGACTGCTGTCTCCTGAGCTGTGATCATCACTACCTAAAGAGTTGGCTGTAAGTACTTAAATAGTTCATTAGGTTTAAGCTGTATTCTGACCTGTGTAATGTAGAATTGTTTGCATTTTAAGTAGTGATGCTTTCAGCCCCAGTAGGCATTGACAATCCTACCTTTAGTGTTTAGTCTCCTAAATATATTCCTGTTTCTATTTTTTGGATACTTACAAAAACACAGGTTAATTTTTCTTGTCTGATAGTCAAAGCACTTGTTTTCTAGATACTTCCAAATTGTGGGCTCTGACTTTCTCTTTCCAACAGATTTGGTTCAAGTACTAAAGTGGTGCATTTTCTGGGAAGCACAAAGCCATGGAACTATACGTATGACTCCAGAACAAAAAGTGTAGAAGGCAATATCAATGACCCTAAAATTGTTCACCCAGAATTCCTCAACATGTGGTGGGATACCTATACAGTTAATATTTTACCCTTACTAGAACAGAAAGAAGTTGATGAAGAAAATACCACAAGTGCAAACATGGTATGTATCTTAATATTCTTGTGGAAACTACCTATGCAAACAGAATAGACTTTGTGTGATCTCACTTGTTTCCCCTCCTGTGCAACTGAGAGCATGGGTGTGGATTAGTTGGTGAGATACAGAGATTCTTGTTTTTTTTTCTTCTTTCATTTCTGGAATAAAGAATAATACAGATTAGAAGAATATTAAGTGGTCTTGAGCATAGTTGATTGCTATGCTTAAAATTAAGTGCAGAATGATGCACTAGAAATGACAGTGTAGTAGCTTCAGTAAACTCATCCTTAATGTGCTGCAGCTATTCAAACATGAGAACCCCCAGTTGAGCATGCAGTATACACTTGCAGTCTTGCATGGTACAACCTACCTAGGTAGGCCTGCAATAATTAGAGAATAGGTTACTTAAATAGATTTGCAGTAGTAAATCTTGATACTTGCAAAACCAAAATAATGCTGCTTATTCTAGTTCTTAAACAGAATTCAGTAGTATGTCTGCAAAGTTTAGTGTCAGATTAGTACAGTGACTGATTCAAGTTTTTAATCCTTCTCAGCCTGAAGTTACAGAACTTTGGAGATGTGCTCTATCTCTTTTAAACTTTTTCTAATGAACTGTTTGCAGCTATCAGGCTTGATCTATACTCTGGCTTTCTCTTGTGGCTTTTGTAGAGAGGTATGAAGAACTAAACCCCTGACCCTCCCTCCCCCACCTCTTTCCTTGAATGATTTGTTACTCTGCTTTATTTTGCTAGGAAAGCTGCACAGTCCCTGCTTGTTGGTGATGCTTGGTGCTATGCATGAGAACATCTACTTGGTTGCCCTCTTATGTGGCCTGTTGCTTGCTTAACGTATGCAAAATCTGTCTGTATTTTTTACTCTGCCTTTTTTTTTTAGGCAGAGGTTACAGAGGCAGTGTCCCATATGTCGGTATCGGCACCACCACCACCAGTATTACCAACCATATCTTCAGAAGAACGCAAGGCTCGGTGGGAACAAGGCCAAGCTGACTATATGGGAGTGGATTCTTTTGATAACATCAAGAAGAAACTGGACTCCTACCTTCAGTAGAAGTGCCATTTTCAAACACTGGCACTACAAGGACTTGTTCCAGAACTAACAGCTAGGAAAGGTTGTAGATGATGGACAATTACGCTTGCGAGTAGCTTGATGGAAAAAATTCTTGGCTGAAGGCCTCTGCAGTGCCACGGATAAAGCAAGAGCTAGGAAGCAGAATTCCTTGGGCCAATTGTAACTGCCTAGTAACTAAAAAAAGGGTTTTCAACTACATTTTCCTTATGTTGTGATCAGCTGGCTCAATGTATTCATTGAAACTGGGTTTGCACCTTAGCTCATTAAGGTGATTAGCAATGACTCCTTTGCTTGCTATTTTAGGTCTAAAATGTGATTTGTGGGATTGCTCATACACAAAATGATTGCCATTCTGCTTTACCGTTAGTGAGAGATAACAGTAATAGCACTGCTTTGATCTTCTAGTCACAATTGCACTGATGTTTTGACCAGGTTTTTACACATAGTGCCTACAGCATGGCAGAATGCATTTGTTCAGTTCTGTATTCTTCAGGCTTAGTAAACTGAGTTTTTCTGTTACTTGAAATCTTCATGCAAAAATAAAAACTTGTCATGCTTTTCTGGTTTTTTTGTAAACTCTTGAGAAAATAAAAAAGAGATCTTTGGAGCAATCTAAAATAACCAAACTTTGTTCGTTCCATTCTAGTTATCACTAACAAATGTCCACCTTCTAGTTCCGTAATTTTTAACAGAGTATGTAGTCAAGTGCCAGGTTGCTGCTGGAAGAAGTACCTGCAGAATGGAGCTAAGAGAATCTGTATTTTGGTTACTGAAGAACAACCTGTAATGTGATACTGTTTTTAAAACAAGCAGTAGTGATGCTGTCTTGGCAAGTAAAGATGAAGTAGCTGTACCTACACGGGTTAGGAAAACTCTCTCTTCCTTGTGTGCATGGCCACCATCATGCCACGTGTTGTATTTTGAGACAGAGAAAAGTAGTAAAAGTACAAGACAAAACTCACAGTAACAGCCTTCTGAAGAGAGGGTGGCTGCTGTTTGCCATTAGTTCAGATCCATCCTTTAGCTAGAAGTGTAAACAGAACCGAATTACTTAGCATTCAGTTTGGTACCTATAATCTGTATTAGTCCAGAGACATGTATTTTCTTATATCTTTATAAAGGAGGATTTTGGCAGGAAGCTAGTAAGGGTTGTTTAGCTTTAATCCTGGAGATAAACAATTGACAACCTGCTACTGTTTGCTGGTAAGGAGAAGATATGATCTGCATGTGAGAGTTAATTGAGGTCCTGGTCATTGTTCAGCAAAAAGTGGTAAAAAGGAGGTCCAGGTCAAAGTAACTTACAGCTATTTAAAAGTTAATAGCATTTGAACTCTCAGTCATAATGTTACAACTAACCACTTTTTTTTTTTTTTTTTTTTTTTTAAATTTGAAGTTGTTTGGAAGCAGGAAGAGTTAGTAATTACAATCTACAGTTACAAAATATACTTTACCCAGCAAGTACAGATACTGAAGTTTGGCATGCTCACAAATATTCTCTGGATAACTTAAAAGTACTCTTGAGGTCAGCTGAACAGTCTTAGTTTTGCTCTGTACACTTACTAGAGAATGAGCAGGTTCTTTGACTTTCAGTTGCAGACAACTGTAAGTGTAAAAAGCATGAGACTACACCAACCTGAAAATTTGGTTTAGCATGTAAGTTTTATTACATTCAAGAAGATAAGATACTGAATAAGATAAAACCTATGTGTTTCAGATTAACAAGTATAGTTAGTAAAAAATTAAAACTGGGGAAAAAAAAATTTACACTAACCCTTGACTCACATTATAATGTTCAATAAATTAACATTGTCATTTTCTGCCATTATTTTCTCCATAATTAACAGGCAGCATTAGCAGAACTGTACAGGCCTCTTTAAATCACCCCATCAGTATAATTGGATACAAAGACCTTTTTGTGAAGTTTGTAGTCAGTGTGATAACTGAATCACTGCTATACTCAAAACGATAATTCAGAAGCTTTTAATGCAGGGGACAAAGATGGCTAATAGCTTTGTCTTTGGAATTGAAGATGCTAAAGTTCATGATTGCAAAACCTCACTTGCAGACCATGCTACACTCCAAGAAAGAACAATAGCCACAGCCTGCTTATACCTTGTGAAAAGCAAAAAAATAATAATTAAAGAAAAGCACCACCGAGAAACTCAGAAACTCAAGTCACTGTACAACTTGCCACTAACTCAGGTAAGTTTTTTATTTGGCTTTGGAACACTGAACCATCATCTAGTTAAGAGAAAACAATACTGGTGGTTAGTTTCATAATCATTTTTTAACTCAGCCACTCTGCAAAATATGCATTATTTTTTAAAACAAGCAGTGATGTAGCTTGGCTAGCCGTTGAAATGGGTCCCTTGCCAATGGAATTTTAGCTTGAAAAAGGAAACAAAGTTAAATCTCTCATTCATAGTCAGGAATTGTTTCTCCAGCTTACATCTAAACCTGAAAGTTTATTTTACATAAACTACGCAAAAACCTGACAATTCATTTGGTTGTACCTCTGCTTTCCTGCTTTTTTGTCAGACTTCCAGGACTGTAACCAGCTACCAGGGCACATTATTCCACTGCCCACGTCTTGTTAATTCTTTGTCTACCAAACTCAAAGCATCACAGCAAGTTTTCCTCGAGGCTAAGAAACTAGCTCCATAAAAGTGCATCAGCTTGTTAAGCCACGTATTTTGGATTCCTTCAGTTAACTCACTATTTCTTAAAATATAAGAAGAAATGCAAGGAATCATTATGGATTTCTAAGGAGGTAATGGAATTTAGTGTATATTTCCCTAGTTGCCAAAATGCCCCTGTTTGCTGAAGTAAGATATACATATATATATATATATATATATATATATATATATATACACACACATGAAGTATAGCTCCTGAGAAGTTTAAAATTAATAGCTGTGGATTCCACATTATTCCCTAACTAAATTAAAAAAAAAAAAAAAAATCATTTTATGAAGGCCAAGACCATATCAAGAATCAAGCTCTTAACAACTACAACCAGTGCGGGGGGGTAAAACAACAAAAAAAACCACCACAGCAGCCTGGTCCTCATTAAGTTTTGGGTTTTTTTTTAATATAATAAGCTTTATGTCTAGCAAAAGTGTTTGTTTTCATGAGGAGCTGGATGTTTTCAGAATATGCTCGTGTACAAAAAAATATATTTATCCATCACTTTCTATTCATGGAACAAAAAGCACAATCTTTGCACTTACCCTTTCAGTGACTGTTTTATGAGAGTATCCAGAGCTACTGTACAGGGACTGCTGAATCACGGCCTGAACCGCTGATTAATCATCTGAGGCAAGCAATGAGTCAGCCCTTATTTTTCTAATTTTTCATGGGAATTTTATTGTAATTTTCTCTTGATGAACACACACAAGAGGCTGAATACCTGGTCATAGACCAGGTATAGACCATAGAGCTCTTAGAGGCTCTATACTACAGCCAGTACTTTCAGAACTTCCTTTCCCTTAAAGTCGTTTCCTAAAATGAAAGTAGTAGACAATGATGCTCGCTCTCATTTCTCCATTTGTTGGTGCTTAACGTTCTTCCATCATTACCAAATGATGGTCCTACCTCAGAGGCTTTTTTGTTTGTTTTTTTTCAACCTCAGTCATCGTCATTTGCCTATGATAACTAATAAAGATTTATGTCCATGAAGAAGGTAAAGGTGGAAAAGCATCCAGAGCTCACATGACATAATCAGGCTAGAAAGGTTAAGAAGCACCACAAATTCTGTAACTAAAATTATGTAAAAGAGTTCGACATGCATAAAGAGAGTAACAGGAAGAGCTGAACACATTCAAATCTATCAGTTATATTATAATTTATATTATAAAGTCAGCCATATAATTTTTGTAGTGATGTTAGGCAGGAACGTAAAGACAAGATAGCGAAAGTCTTCAATAATTCGCCTCTAAAATAGTCATTCATCCCCATCTAAAGAAAAAGAAAGCAACGCCTCAAGAGAGATTTAAAAGTGAACAGCTTAACAAGCTCATTGCTTTTAATGAGATTATAATGGTGGCAATTAGAAATGCATCAGATTGGGGTAGGCCAACACTTAACATTAATTAACATCACTCCACTAGCTTCAGTGAAATAACAGAAATTTCTATGTCTAACTTTTTACCAGTTCTTGCTGTTAGCAGACAATACAATGCTGTTTGTGGGTGGGTTTTTTTGTGTGTATTTTTGTTCATTTGTTTGGGTGGGTTTTGGGCAGCAGAGCTCTGTGGTCATTGTGGTTCCCTTCAAGCTGAACTGCTTGGTTCTAAAGAGCTGTCAGTAATCCAGCCAAACTCACAGCCCGTGCAGTAATTGCATTTAATTGCATGCATTTAAATTTAAATCACGTGCAAACGGAGGCAAATATTGCCAAGATCTCCCTTAGCTAAATCTTCCATAACACTACAGATTGCCTTGTAAAAAAAACAACAGAAATTTAAAACTGTAAAGACCCTACTGCTGGGCTCTTGAGTACAGCTCAGAAAAGACCATCGGACAGAAAATAACAGCTTCCACATGCAGGTACAAACTGCTTTTCCTTCAGGAAACAATGGCAGGAGCCAGGCATTAGCCTCAGTCTACTGCTACAGATGTAGCTTTAAATGCAACTGATTGCAAATTATGAAAAATCTCGTGGAAAAAAAAAAAAAAACTACACAGAAGTTGCATTGGAACAACTGAAATCTCATAGAGAATTAAAAAAAGGAAACGAAATATTGAGTTCCGTAACCCCTTTAGAAAAGTTACTTTGGACTAGAACCACCGCTGGTGTTCTGCGCGGAAACAGGACATCAGCACCCGCGCAGCGCACGGCCCCGCCACGCGCTTTCTCCACAGACCCAAATTGCGCGGGAACTCCCCAACGCTTCGGTCACGCCACCAACCGAGCATGCGGCAGTTAGCACCCCACGTGAGGAGAGGAGCGCACTGGCGAATCGGTGGCCGCCGTTCGCCTCTGGCCCGGGTGACAGCCAATGGGAAAGCAGCGCGCAAGGGCTCTCCGGACCGTTACCTGACGGCGGTTGGGTCTCTTCGGCTGCGGACGTACTCCGGTGCAGTGCCGTGCGGTCGGAGCTGCTGAGCATTACGAGGCGCCATGGTGGGAGTGGGAACTCGGGTTGGGGAGAGGAAGGGAACCTGGGATGGCTTTTGCCGCGGCGGGTTTGGGGAGTCGAGAGTTACCTGTGCTGCGGCGGAGCTCGCGGAGTGCTGCCGCTTGCGGCCCTGCGGTGGCGTAAGGCCGTGTGTGGGAGTGGAGAAATTAACATGAGAACTGAGAGTTGGAGGGAGGTGATGTGTAGAAGTTGTCTGGTGGTAAATGAGACAAAACAGGTGGAAAAGCAACGAAACCGGCTTTGCGGTGCGAAGGACGACGGTTGAGGCACGAGAACGCGTACCGCATCGGCGGCGGCATTTCTTGTGGTGCCTAAAACGATTGGGGGCTGCACGCAGCCAATCAGAGGAGAGGCCTGTGTCCGGCGGCCAATGGCGTGCCACCGTGCCGTGAAGGGGCGCGGCTGTGCGGCGGTG